TAATGCTCCTGGCTGATGGTAAAATAAATGGTCATTGTTGACTCTGTAGTTTGAATTTGTCGTAGTGGCCGTCCGTTAATTACCTGTACAGTTTTAGGCCATTTCCGACCCCTCCTTGTTGTGTACAATGATGTACTTTCGGCAAACCATCTCCCCTTTAATTATGTAGACCCTCTCAACATTGAAGAAATTCTTAAATACGTTCTAGTAACGAATATTTTCTAGTAAGTGGGCCTACAAAAATAGATTCGTATGCCTTTAATACCACTAAAAAAAGTTCGCGTAAACAATGCCTCAACCCCTTCCCCCATCATGTTCAGTACAATGATATACTTTCAGCAACTCCTCCCCTTCATTGAACTGTACACGTAATTAATCGACGACTCCTTAATGTTGTTAAGTTTGTATGTGGGGAGTTTATGATTAAGGGCTTCAGAGGCCCTTAACCATAAACTCCCCACATACAAAATTAACATTAGGCCTGATAAGCTGAGGCTGTCATACCTCTTGTCAGGGCTTTATTAATCCATGGCAGAGCTCCTAGGGTTTCAGGTATTTCGGGCCTCCTCTGTCACTTCTATATTTTGTTCAGAAAAGCTCAGGTAGGTCCTAGATCTCAGTAAATAGTCCTATATCACTTCTGAGGATGTTCTGAATAATTTTATTTAATTACATTTAAAGGGCCCTATTTCGATTTTTACTATGAACTAACATTTTTACAAGGGATCCTACTTGATTTTTTACTAACTTTATAGTAAAATTCAAGTAGGGCCTCTCACAAAATGAAAAATTTTTAATAAAAATCAAAGTAGGGTGTCTCGCGAAAATAAATGCTAAACCTAAATTATAGTAAAAATTAAAATAGGGGGCCTTTTGTAAATGTGACGGGGCCTATAATTTAAAATGGAAGGGTTAACATTGTAAATTAAAACAGTTTTTCTTATGGAAAATATAATAATGTGTCTATAATTAAAAGTTAAAAGGGAGAATTCAATTATATTAATAACAAGTACAGGTGATATTTTAAAATGAAATTAGAAATGTTTAAGAAATAATCGTAAAATTTTGAATAATCATTTTTAATGGTTTAGAAGATAAATATGGTAAAACATTAATTAAATTTTATTGTTTAAGGATGTAAAGTTTATGAGAAGATGAGGATTTACGAGGAGATGAAGTCGCTAACGAGTTAAAAGAGATTATTACAAATTGTAATACAAATTTTTAACTTTGCTGATAATTTAAAATTGTTAAACAATATTCTTTATCAATAGACAAAGAATTTCTCAATAAATTACAAATTTTATTGTAAAACAGGGAAAAGTTTAATGTATAAACTATGCCTAATAAGAATGATAAAATAATACTAAAGTCAGGTAAATTGATTCAAAATTCGCAAGACGTGGGTTCGGATTCCATCTACAACTTGGCTTTTTTGTCTATAAAAAGCCAAGTTATTTATTATTTGTTTCTTTACGATCCGTATGAAAATTAAAGTAATAGATCTGAGCTTCTCCCAGCTTCGAAAGGATACGAACTCACGTTCCAGGATTCAAACCTACGCTCAGGAACCGAACCCAGATTCTGAAATTCTCGGGTGTTTCTTAATTAAAATAACTCGTTATTTCATAAAATATAATTTATTTTATATTAAACAAAGATTTTAAAAAAATTATGATAATTTTAGATTTAATGCGCGTTGTAACTTTAATAAATGCCTTAAAAGAAAAGCAAATATCCCTAATTATTTTATAATTTTAACTTTTACTAAATACTAAATATTTTTAAGATTTCAAGTTACTTTTCAATTTCGCACCGAGGAAGGATTTTAAATTTCTCTAATATACTTGGGGATTTAAATCCTCGAGGAAATTAGGGAAATTTGGAATTTAAAAGAAATATATTAAGATTTAAATATGCCTTGAGAATTTTCGGTTTTCTTAATTTTGTAACCTAGACTTTTAAATTACTCCATTTATGCACCCATTAAATTTCCCTAATTGTGTACTTGAGGAACTAAAATTTCCCTAACTGTGCTCTTGAGAGAAATTTAAATTTCCCTAATTGTGTACCTGAGAAAAATTAAAATTTTCCTAATTTTTCACTGGATAAATTAAAGTTTATCTGATTGTATACTTCGGAAATTAAAATTTCCCTAACACTTGAGACTTTTTATTTTTAATTTCTATAATATCAGAATTTTAATCCCTATAATATATTTTTAATTCCCTAAAAACGTACTAGATATTTCTAGATACATATTTAAGAAATATTTAAAATACCAGAGCGCTCCGCATTATCGATCTGAACAGAAGTGTAAAATAAAAAAATCCCGTATATATCGTTCTCATTTAATTCAGCGCTATTGAATAAAATCNCTAGTGGTTTCTTCTATTGATGATTTAACAAATAGCGGTTCATTTAGTAGAAATTACTTGGCGATTTGAAGGAATGTACGATAATTAGGGCGGTGGAACCGCATCAAACTTTCTTGGTGTTAATTAGACGAGACCATTTGCTATCCGAAGACAAATTCCTTCCCTAATTAATTGCCTCTCAGTTCCTCCTTAAAAGCTTGATCCCGTTTTGTGCACAGCATATCAGCAGCGGCCATAAAACAGCAGTTTTTGAACGATAGGCATTCCTTAGACGTCATTTGCTACCCCCGCATTCTATGGGTTTTGTGGGAATTTTACGTCATACAAGCTAAATTATCTCAGGGATCATAAAATACATAACTGGAGTACATATATGTATTTTATTACTGTCTTTTATTGTGTTGTATTATTAGATTCTTGCTTCTTGTTAATGATCTTTCTTACGTCATTTACTTGCATAATTTAATTGAATTTTTGTCGTTAAAGGTGCTAAATTATTATAAGTATCGTAAATTATATAACTATAACTTATAATTTATTATAACGCATTGTTAACTATTAAATTTAAGATCCATTATGTGCCCAGGGTGGATTTGAGTGCTGCAGTTTGCAGCAACACTCCCGTTTTGGGGGTTTTTCCTGAGTAATGCCACGTACAACTATATAATTATAACATATATTTTATTATAACCGTTATTAACTGTTAAATTTAAGCTCCATTATGTGCCCAGGGTGGATTTGAGTGCTGCAGTTTGCAGCAACACTCCCGTTTTGGGGGTTTTTCCTGAGTAATGCCACGTACAACTATATAATTATAACATATATTTTATTATAACCGTTATTAACTGTTAAATTTAAGCTCCATTATGCAATCAGGAATGGATTTAGGTGGTATCAGGGCGAAGATGTACCTCCTTCTGGGGATTCTTCTCGAATAACTTGGGTAGTAAAATGATTTTTTAAGGCGTGTTGCTTTCTTTCTGCTCTCCCTCTGAAGATTTCCGGATCCTCCGCTAATGTGCACCCCTACTTTTATCATTTAGTTGCACAGCTTAATTGATTTTTACGAGAATTTAACGTCAAAGGAGCTAAATTATATAACTGGAATATATTATTAGTTGTTAAATTTATTCTTCGTTAAATGCCCGCTTAATGAGGTTTCTTTTTTTAATTGTTTAGATGCATCGTTCGATTTTTTTTAATGAGAAGTGCAGACAGGAGCGAGCCGTTAGAAGTACCATAAATTATATTATCGGGGCATATATATTTTACTGCTCCTTCCATCTAATACATCATTAAATTTTATGTATGGCCAGATTTTAAACACATAGTTGCATAATATAATCGGTTTTCCTGTGGGAAATTTACATCAGAGATGCTAAATTTTGTTACCATGTCCACTTAATGAAGTTTTTTTCGTATCATTCAATTGCATACTTTAACTGAAGGAGCTAAATCACTATTAAGGACTATAACTAAACAAGTATTTTATTACTAAATTATTATTGTAATTAACTGTTTGACGTAAATTTCGAGCCTCATTAGATGCCCATTTAATGAGAATTTTTAATCATTTATTTACATAGTTTAATTGAGTTTTATGGGAATTATTCGTCAAAGGAGCAAAATCATTAGAAGGATCATAAATTATCTAACTGGAACGTATATTTTACTAGGCCTTCCATAATAGATGGCCGATGTAATTAAGGCATACCACTCTGGAGATCCGGGATGGAAAGGCCCTTGCAATTTAACTGCATACAAATTAATTCGAAAATATTTTATTTCTGTATACCAATTTTATTTAATAAACTCATCAAATTATCACTACAATAAATTTATAGTTTCTCTGTTGTTATAATTGCGTATCAATACGCCATCAACCGAATTGTACAGCTGTACTTAAACGCATCAATCGTAAATTTAAATACTAAAGTTAAATAATAATGCTCATGTTGTAATTTAACCAATTTGTTTGTATTTTAAAGCATTTATGCTCGAAATAAAATATTATTAGTTATTTACATTCTATAAGCTGTAGAGCGTGACGGACAGATAAGTTCGTAGTTCGAGATTATATATAAATAATTCGATTTTATACACCGAACTAATTTTTTTATTTATTTATGGGCCTCTCACAAAATGAAAAATTTTTAATAAAAATCAAAGTAGGGTGTCTCGCGAAAATAAATGCTAAACCTAAATTATAGTAAAAATTAAAATAGGGGGCCTTTTGTAAATGTGACGGGGCCTATAATTTAAAATGGAAGGGTTAACATTGTAAATTAAAACAGTTTTTCTTATGGAAAATATAATAATGTGTCTATAATTAAAAGTTAAAAGGGAGAATTCAATTATATTAATAACAAGTACAGGTGATATTTTAAAATGAAATTAGAAATGTTTAAGAAATAATCGTAAAATTTTGAATAATCATTTTTAATGGTTTAGAAGATAAATATGGTAAAACATTAATTAAATTTTATTGTTTAAGGATGTAAAGTTTATGAGAAGATGAGGATTTACGAGGAGATGAAGTCGCTAACGAGTTAAAAGAGATTATNGCAAAATTCTATTTTTATTTTTATTTTATTTTTTTTAAGTTCTTCGTCCGGATGTCTACAACATTGGCCGGAAGGGGGCGCTGACAATGCGATGGGGCAGTAGGTCGTCTGCTGCGAAACGAGTTGGGAGTTGGTTGAGTTCGTTTGACGTTGTTCACGATCGTCTGCTGCCGTTTAACACACGGAAAATCGAGTTTTTTTTTCTCCTAAGAAGTGTTCTGTGTTATGGCAGAAAGCGAGGAGATGGTAAAGTTAGTGGAGGGAGCGTATAAGGTGAGATTTATTATTTTTAGACCGTTTGCACTCGTAAGCTTAGATTACAGACGACTTTCACTTTCAATTTTTTTAAGTCGCCAGCTTCTAATAATTAAATTTATAAATAAAACAAACATTATTAAGTATTTTATAGTTTAAAACCCGAATTTAATTTATATTAACTTCAAAATTTTTCAATTATTTTGAAGGCTTCCTAATTAAGTATTTACAATACAAAAATTCGGAGTTAGGCCTAATTGTTAAACTTCAAAATTATGAGCAAAATATTTAATTTTTCGAGTTAAATGACAATACTACAATTATTTAAGCGACAATAATACATAATATATTATGTACAGTAAAGCCTGTCTATAACGGAACCTGCACGAAGCGGAAACCTGCCTAAACGGGAAAAACAAAATCGCTACGTTTCGAAGTATTTTCCCCAGTTTAAGCAGGTTCCGCTTTATCCAGGTTCAGTTTTGAACAGGTTTTTTTTTTGTTTTAAACGTAGAAAATCGCTCCGTTCTGATAATGTTTAAAAAAACGTGTTCAAAACTCAACCTGGATAAAGCGGAAAACTGCCTAAATGGGGGAAGAACTTCGGAATGGAGCTATTTTCTATGTTAAAAAAACCTGTTCAAAGCGGAACCTACCTAAACGGAAAAACATAACCGCTACGTCCCGAAGTGTTTTCCCGTTTAGGTGGGTTTCCGCTTTATCCAGGTTCAGTTTTGAACACGTTTTTTTTTTAAACATAGAAAATCGTTACGTTCTGATGATTAAAAAAACTTGTTCAAAACTGAACCTGGATAAAGCGATTTTCTAGGTTAAAAAAAACTGTTCAAAACGGAAACCTACCAAACCGGCAATGATATTTGGTAACGTGCGATTTCTGTTTACACAGGTTTCAATGTATTAATATATTGCGTAGTATTGTTACTTAAATTTATCGTGTTAAAACTTGAAATATGTTTTTAAATTTCACCGGTAATAAAATTTGCGAAACGGCTGCTGATCAATTTGTATGTATAAAATAAATTCCGAAGAAACAATTTAGCATTGGAAATTGTTAACTCTTCAAGTTAGAATCATTCTAACATCAGAGAAGCTGGTATTAGGGCCGTGTTTTCCAAGGCTTTTGCCGCTTTCTATCAGCTCAGTTCGTTCTAACTTCATTACATCACCCTCCCGCTTAATGAAATTCTCACCCTTCCATACATCATCCAAAGATTCTTCCAACACTTTACTTGACATCTTATATACCGATTTCTATGTCAAAGAGACGAATAACTTTGTTTTTTCTTCTTTCGATAGCATTTATTAATTAACAATAATTCATTATGGATAATGTTATAGAATATAATCAGTCAATTTTAAATTATTTTGTATGAACTTACTGAAAAGATGAATTTTAATCTATATTATTTATTTCTAACTTGCGCTTTTATTGTTAATTATCGTTAAAATGTTATGTTTATACGAAATCTTACGCCGTAATAGTTTAATATTTTTTAGAAAATATCAATTTACCCACACAATTTTTATAATATTTAAGTATAGAAACGATTATAAACCATTCATGATTACTTTTCATGTTTTCTTGTAGATATATATGAAAAATAATCAGATTTTTAACGTGTGAAATGCGAAACAAAATTATTCAGTATACTGTGTGAGAAGTAATTCAGAGAATGCAAGAAATCTTTAATGTGCTGATTGAATAATGCAGTAATAATTCTTCCCACATTTGGCTTTTTATACTGATTTCTATGTCAAAGAAATGAATTGAAAACGAAATTCGGAATTATATGAGGACGTTTTTATATAATAATCATAAATTATTTTAAATCACATTTATATATACTGTAATACTAATTATCTAATATATGTAATAACAAGCCATGTATGTATATATGTATTAATTGCGATTATGTAAAATTATCAATTATCAAAATGTATAATAATGAGAACAATGTCTGAAACATGCTAATGATCGTACTGATTTTAATATATTTTTGATGGAAAGCATACGAAAAATATGCAATAAATTTTTATTTCTTGTTTAAAATTTAACAATTAATTTTAAGCTCTTACGCTTAGTTAAAATTTTGTCGAATTATTTAATTATATATTTAAAAAATATTACTCTTTTATATTATTCTCGAAAACGTTTCGAAGATTATTGGTTTTGGATGAGAGGATCCAGTATTAGATATCTATAGACATTTAAAGAGCATTTTTTAAACCTTTTTTTACGTCATAATAAAATAGTTTTGAAGGGAAATGTGCTTTCAAATGGTATACCTTATTAAAATTTATTTTATTTAGCGAAATTATATCAACGATTTTTGTTGACTGCATTAAAAAGTGTGATCCTACACGCTATTTTCTAAGATGCTAATCTTTTAAGCTTTGAAGAATCGCATCATTAAGTGGGAAACGTCAAAAGAGCAACAAATGTGAACATTTTTCTGGACTAAACAAAGTGATTTTGAAGTTTTTTACATAGAATGTGGAATTAAAATATAATTTATAGCTTTAAAAAAATGATTTAAACAAGTTCAAAAATCCGATAAAATAAATCTTAATGAGGCATGTTTCAATATTGAAGTATCGTATTTAGAAATTTGTAAGCTTATGATTTTAAGCAATTATGAAAAAAAAAAATAAACATTAAAATTTATATTCTACATTTATTGACAATATAAGTTGAATTTATTAAATAATAATTTAATAAATTTATGTATATTTTCAGAATATTTTAGAAAAGTTCAATCCTTGTGCCAGACAACTCATTAATGCCGGAAAAAGCTATTTGAAAGCTCTTCACGGTTCGTATAACATTAAAATCACTATTTAATAATCAAAACTGTTATCTTTCTTAAAATAATCGCATTTGCAATTATATTAGATCGATGAGTGTGAATCAGGAAATTAAATAAGAAATTTTTCACTGTTTTACAATACATAATGCATTTATTTGGATAAGAGAATATTGTAAATTAAAAAAGAAAAAACTTATCTGTTTATGTTTCGGAGAAAATGAGTTTAGCTAATTTTGGTAACTGAATCTAGACAATAGAAGCAATTCGTGCAGTTTACTTTTTGACCATCATTTCATGAATGTCGAACCTTTTCTAGGGATTCATCCCATATAGAAATTGACTTGACACCTACTGAGCTGCTGTCAATGTTGACAGGGATATCTTATCTGTGATGCCAGTTTCTCCTCATTTTTCTCATACTAGTCATGACTTGTTCCAATTTCTATATTCTGTAATCAGACTATGCAATCACTAAATTGATTTTTTTTTTGTTTTTGGTAAATATCTTAGTAAACATTGTGCTTAGTATTAAATTTGAAATGAAATAAATTGAACTAGTCAATAAAATATTAATTGTCAAATAGTTATAAATATTTATAAATACTCTTAACTCTTAATGAGGAAAATCTAATATTGTTTGGATTATCTGTCATAAGTTAACACATTAATAAAGATATTTAGAATGATTTACAAGGAATTAAACATTATCATTTAGTATTTTGTAGATTTACGTTTTGATTAAAAAAGAATATTAAACGTTACTAATAATAATCTAATGTTTATCTCTTAAATTCTATTTTTAAATTGATATTTAGTAAAGAGCGATAGTAAATGTTATAGATATAATATAAAGAGTATTAATTTAGAAACACATTTTTAATTTATTTTCTTAAACTGCTTTTTATTGAGAAAATTTGAAGATAAAACTTAACTAAATAGACTAAGGTCATTCACACAGAAATTGGCTTATTGCAGATAAGGTACGACACAATGTAAACAAACCGCTTTATTTTCATTCTGGTCTCGACTGTGGTGATTGATATTTATAAACCTGTTGTCATAAAAGAAGACTGGAATGAAGAAACATTTTTTTTTTTCTAATAAGGAATATGAGGAGGAAAAACTGTTTATTTTGATAATTAATAGAGTCCAATTACGAAAAGATATTTTATTCTTTCATTTAATATTTTACTTATAAATACTGTAATTTGAATTTATTTAAATTTCTATTTTGCTATTATAAGTTTAACTTTACAATCTGACTAAATATATCAACCACGTTTTAGTTATTTATTCTAGATTTATTTACATTGATTCACAAGAAGTAGATTATGTAGTGGAAAATATTTAACGTATTTTTCCCGTTTAAATGGAAGCTCTAGCAGCCACCTTATCCAATGTTTAGCATCATTTTGTTATTAAAGTTTTATATTTTTTAATATGATTATATTAAGAAGTCATATTTTAATATAATTTTAATTTTTTAGCGAAAATAATTTTCTTACATAACTGTTTTATTTGTAAAATACTAATTATAAAAATTTTAAAATCATTTTAAATTTATTTTTAATTTTCAATGTAAAATAATAAATTAAAAATATTTTTTATATATTATAAAATGCAGACTAGACGGTGATTGTAACATTATGCATTAAATAAAATCTTAATATTTAATTATAAATTATATTCAAGGAAAATATTATCCGTTGAATTAAGCTTATTAACGTCAACTTTAACAAATCAGCCGTGCCGACATAAAGAAGAATCAAGGAATTACAGTAGAAAATTTCTATCTTTATTTACAAATATCACGAATCGGATTTTGTTTACTGTATTATTGGGTAGTTATTCCTCCATTCTAAGTATCAAGTAAACTATCAAAAAAAAATTATTATTAATGTTGTATCTATTCACATTTAGTTAAAATGTTCTATCTTTATTAGTTTAAAAGTTAGTTTACAACTTAGTAAAATTCATTAGTTTGAAACTTTCATGCTTCCGATATGACCTTTGACAGCTGGTATCTTTTGACATTTACTCATTATACTGGAGTGAACGTATTATACTATCAATGAAAATTACTATTCGATGAAAGTTACAGGCCAATAAGAGCTATATTTATGCTGTAACATAAAATTCCTGTATACCTATTCTGTAATGCAAGTCACTAGGGCTACCTATTGTTGTGAGGAATAATAAACATGTTAGAATATGCTGAAAAAGCTTCACCTTTAGAATCGAAAATTATTTTTAAAATATATTATGCTCATATATAAACAAAAATAGAGATCAAGAATATTAAAGGAAATAAATTTATATTAAAAAAATAAATATAAGATGTTAAATTCTAATCTTTTAGTGAAGACATTTTTAATGAATTTTAATGGAAAAAAATTAAATAAAAAGCATTTAACTGCATTTTAACATATATTAACATTTATAAATATTTAAAGAAAGATTAATAACTCTATATATAAATTATTATTACTCGAAATGCTATATAAACTGTTATATTTTATAATAACCTATGTTGTTTTAAAATAAAATTAATTTATGTAAAATAATTTTAAAAGTTTTTAACAAAATTTTATGGTATATAGTATGCAGCCTAATTGCGTTAAAATATTGTGGAATTTATATTAGATCTGTAAAAATATATATTTTTTAATTTAACTAAATTTAGTACGCTTTTTAACTTTGAATTTGTATAAAATAAATTATAATTTATTATATTAAATATTCATGCTGCTAATTATTGAAAAATCTTTATTAATATCTTAGTTTATATTTAGACTGTATTAGTTTTAGTTATCAGTAAGAGATTTCAGTGCATGGGCGTCCGCAGAGAAGGGCAAACAGGGAACTTCCCCTCCCTAGGATCGAGTAAAAGATTCCACAAATTATATTCGTGAAAGTGATTGATATATATAATCTTACACTCTCGATTACGGGATCCTTTGTGTTAAATTCTTCCAAAAATTAAATACCGTAATTAAAAATCTATTGATGTAATTATTTGTTTCCAAATGCTATACCCCGGAAAATGCTCTGTGTACGCCTATGATTGCAAATTATTAAAATTTTTAATATTTTCAATGGAACATTCAAGTGAAGCATTTCTTATGCTTTTGCTATATAGAGATGTCGGATGCTTTAGGAATTCTAATTTAAACAATTGACTTCAATTCATCTTTAAATCATAATCAATTCTTTCTTTAAACATCTTTAAGCCAATTCATCTTTTAACAAATAGGATATTTACTAGCACAACTTTATAAATATTGGTGTAACAGTAAGTTTTGCATGGAGTCATAACAATTACTTGAATATCTACTGCAAATCTTAACTTTTTAAAAATTTAAAAGGTCATATAAACTTTACTGTTAAAATATAAAACCAATAAATGGATACTTGAGACACATTTTATGATTATTCAAGTAAAAACTCCAAAAATTTAGTTGGATATTTATCGAAATAAAGATTTCCTTGATTATAAAATAAATTTTAGGTGAAGTTAAGTTACATTCGAAAAATAAACATACGAAAGCTAGCTTATTATATTCACAAGTTGATTGCAATAAATTTATGTATTTCAATCGATTATGGTCCATATAATTAAAATAAAAATATACTTAATTTTTTAAACCCCATCAGCGACGTTTAATTTTAAATACGAATTAACATTTATGGAAAATAAATACGTATGAAACAAAGATTTTTACGGATATTGCTACTTAGAGGCTATAAAAATTTAAATTTTTATTATTTTTTTTATGGAAATGATTTAAAATTTTTTTGAATTAAATTAAATTTTCTATTGAAAACTGTAAGCAGAGAGAGTAATTTTTATAGAATTTTTTTTAACATTTCATATTTTTAGATATTTTAAATTGTTTAAGAATATGAAAAACTGAATTTATCATTTATGATAACAAGGATATTGTACAGAGTTTTAAGTATTGTTTATTGAACAGTACTAGTGCCTCATCTAGATACCTAGGTTTATATAGCCTATATATTTCAGAAAAAACAAATGTTTGTTCGGTTTTATTTATTTAATTTTGGTTAAGGGAGAGACAGTCTCCATTTATTCCTCATTGATTATATCTCTGGAAAATACTAAACTTTTTTCAGATGTCTACCAGAAATTTATCTAACATGACTAATGAATTATGTAGATTTTTACTTTTTGAAATTGTTTGTATACATGGCAGTTACGTGATAAAATTCTATGATTCAGTTCTGTGCGTTAACTATTTCAATTTCTAGAATTATACGTTCAACTGTACAACCAATGAATCATAAATTATATTAAAAAATTAAGGGTTAAGTTTATAAATACCAATTGTTGTGCAATTAATGAGTTATAAACTTATTTAAAATTAGTCAATGCAAACTGATCTAAACCAAACAATACATAATTGAGTCACTTTGTATTTATTATTGGATTCATTTACTTTGCACAGTTTATAGATTAACTTTACCAAATACAGAATTTTGAAATTAAAATTCACTTTAATGTCTAAATAAACATAATTTTAAATAATGAAATAATCTTAAAACTTAGATTTAAAAATAAAATTCGATTGGTTAATAAGTATAACACAAATTAATTAAACTTAATCTTAAAAAAATGGATTTAACGGTCATATAAATAGTATTCACTATTATTTTTGTCTTAACTTCTAACGGAAGAATTTTCATAACAGCAGTAATAAAATGGATTTTATATACCGGTATATAGAGAAACATCTTCATTAGAGAATTCGTGTGGAAGATGTAGAGGATCGATTTTCATGTAGAGAATGAAGATGTCTCTACATACCGATATATGAATGTGCTATCTATCAGAGAATCGTAAAATAATATAAAAATAATAGTTTGGCTCTGATCGAAAAATGGACAGAAAAAAGGACGGATCACCGGGGGATGAAGGGGCTTAAGTCCTCCCCACTGATACAAAAATTTATTTGTTCGTACTTCAAGGACAAACATCGCGATGCGCG